GCACTCAGTGAAATCACCGCGCTGCAACTGGGCACAACAAAGCACGAAGTCCTACCATACCTGAAGCCACTTCCAGGTACGGTCCGTGGCGTGATTCACGAACTGGACCAGGGCACCACCACAGAACAACTACCCTACATTGTCGCACCCAACGGACCCAGTATACTGCATGCACGAATGCTGGGTGCCTCCACCTCTGCAGTCGTAGATTTAAAAGGACCGCATGTGTCGTTTTACATCAAAGGCTACGGCCTCTTCAAACGATGCCGCCCGTATCGACAAACTGTGCAATGCTGCTCTCTGTGTGGTGACCTTGGACACAGACGGGATGTTTGTCCTACCCCTGATACGCTTCTATGTGCCCAGTGCCACACCAAAAATCCTACACCTGACCATGACTGTGCACCTACGTGCCAACTCTGCGGCCTGGATCACCCCAAGGCCAGCAAGGACTATGGCAAACAATTCCGCTCTTTACCCCCACCCTTGCGTACCCGGGAACGTGCATTTTCCAAGCAGCAGACCTTCCACAACCCGCCCAACTCCCATACTCAGTCAATGCCTCAACAACCACAGAAGCAACACCTTCTACGCTCAATCCAACACCAGGTGAGCTGATCAGCTGTTGTTGCCCCTCCCCCCACTCACTACTCTTGTCCAGTTCCCCCCCCCCCCCCCCCCCCCGCCCCGCACTCCCTACCTTACCCACTACCTCGGTTCCCGACCCCCGCATCCACACCCTCGAAGAAGAAAACGCGCTCCTACGCCGACAACTGGAAGCTACTGAAAAACGCACCGCAACCCTAGAGCAACACATTGAGCAGCTACTAACCCAAATGGAACTCCTAACGTCATCGCGTGCCTCCCCTGCACCGCAAGCACCCCTTCCCGCAATGGCCGCAAACACACATGACCCCCGCTCCCACTAACTTGGACGCAGGACGCCTAGAACTCCTTATACCTGAGATGGGCAACCAGATCAACACCCGTTTTGCTGGCCTGGAGCGACGCTTCGAAGACACCGAAGAAACCAAACGCAAAGCCCACAAAAAACCCAAGCACCGCTACGCGCCCGAAGACCCCGACAACACGACCCACACTATCCTATCCGATGACTCTTTCCAGTCCACCTAAGGGCGACTCAGCTCATCCACCCCCGCTAGTTCTATGGCAATGGAACTGTAGATCGTACCGAAGAAAAGCCTCACTCCTTCCACTTACTTAGCAGCACTCACCTGACATCATTGCCCTACAAGAAACTGACACCAACCACATTACATTACGAGGATACACATCATACACCACAAACCTCATATCCAGAACGGTCATCCTCGTCCAAACTACCCAAACGGCCCAACCCCATACCCTCCCCACCCCAATAGACTATTAATCGAACAGTTGCCCCACTAGAAGACCCATACCAGCCTCTATATTCTAAATATATACAGCTCGCCCACCTCACCCCTCTCCGAAATAGACCGCCTACTGAGACACGTACGACAACGCACCAAAGGTCACAAACTTGTTGTCCTAGGAGACTTTAACGCTCCACACACAGCCTGGGGCTATCTCAAAAACAACCGAAAAGGCACTACAATGCAAGAAGCCGTACAACAAAATAATCTCCACCTCTGCAATAGCCCCCAAACCCCCACCCGCATCGGAAACAGCGTTTCAAGGGACACCTCCCCAGATCTAACGTTCACCTATAACATCCAAGACGCCACGTGGCCCTGCTTGAAAGAAACCTTAGGTAGCGACCACTAAATCATTCAACTCCAAAACCCCCACCGCAAAAACAGTCAACAGCGAATTGGCACGGCCCGACTAACCAACTGGGAACAATTTCGAGAAAACTCCCCCACCGACCATTGACAATCTAGAAGTATGGACCACCCAGCTCCTCACAGAAGCCGCCAAACACGCCAAAGAATTACCGCTAACTCAAGACAACCCAGCGATTGGGTTGTCTTGAGTCACCTCCTCCACCCCTGGGACGCCCGAAACGGACTCCTTAAACGATGGAAAACACGCAAAACAAACCGTAAGCTGCGGATTCGTATCGCCAAACTAATGCTCGATGCTGAAACCTACGCCTGCCAATTAAGCCAACAAAACTGGTCTCAATTCTGCAATAAACTCCAAGGAACACAGGGAACCCGTCGCACCTAGCACCTGCTCCGCCCCCTCATGGAAACAAAAGAATCCAAATCAACTATGGCGCACCAACTTCGAAGACTTATTCACAACCACCCAGGCACTGAGCAAGGCCTCATACAAGAACTAAAACAACCCCTCGAAGCAACATCACCAAACCTACCGCAAGTTCTCCCACCATACACCGTTACCCCCAATCCCGAGCTAGACGAACCTTTCTCCATCGCCGAAATCGAAGCCGCAGTGCACAACCTTACAAGAAACACCACCCTGGGGAAAGACGAAATTCCAAACAAATTCGAAACCTCGACCCAAGAGCCCGTGAAAACCTACTACAATACATCAACAATCACTGGACAGCTAGTTCTCTACCCCCCCCCCCCCTCCCAAGGAAAACACGCGGATATAACTCTTATACCTAAACCGGGAAAATCCCTAAACCCCAAAAATCTACGACCCATGCATCTCCCTGACATCCTGTGTGGGAAAGCTTATAGAATATAGAATCAACAACCGACCTTCACCCCAAAACCGAGGAAAACGGTTACTTCCCGGATACCATGTATGGATTCCGTCCACATCTCTCAACCCAAGATGTTCTTCTTCAACTGAAAGAAGACATCATAGACAAACTAACAAATCACCACAAATTCTCAATCCTAGTGCTAGACATTAAAGGAGCATTTGACAACATATTGCACCAAGCAATCATTCAAGGTCTTTACAACTACATTATCTCCTTAACCAACCGCACCGCAACAGTGGGTATCGGACACCTCCGTTCCGACATTTTCCAAGCTATACCTAAAGGAACCCCACAAGGAACAGTGATATATTCACTACTCTTCAACATCGGCATGAAGGACCTACTCCTCTACTACAAACGATACTCAACCTCCGACACGCCATATATGCGGATGACCTCACACTCTGGACACCTACGGGCTCCATAAATGACCAACAAGACGCCCTCCAAACTGCCATCCAAGTAGCACAGCAATACCTGCAAGCACGGGGGCTGGCATGTGCCCCCGAAAAATCCACCTTACTTACACTATGCAAACGAACACCTAAACATTGCGCCAACTCCACACCAGATCCGGAACTCAGCATCAATAGTCAACCCGTCCCCAACGTACCCCACCTCCGACTTCTGGGGCTCGCGATACCCCAAGACGGATCGGGTGCCCAAACAATCCTCCACCTGCAACGTACCCTCGCACAGCTCGTGCACCTCATCCATCGCGTCTCTCACCGAAGATTTGGCCTCCAAGAAACAAATACTCTTCGCCTCATACAAGCCATCCTCATAAGCCGGATAGCATATGGTACTCCGCATTTAGCCCTAAAACCCTCCGAACAAGTCAAACTAAACTTTGCGATGAGGCACGGGAAGCCTACAAAACCGCACTGGGTTTGCTCCCCAAAACGTCAACAAAGAAACTACTACAACACGCGGGAAGAAATCCACGAAGCGCATCGAATCTCAGCACATACACGCCTCCAGCTCACCTCCGCGGGTAGAGCCACGCTCCGCCGGCTAGGATATTCGACCCCACAAGAGCAAGATCAGAAGACACGCATTCCCCTAGAAATACGACAATCCATCAAAGTGGCACCAATCCCACGCAACATGTACCCGACATATAACAAGGCACGAAGAGCAGCAAGGGACCGAGCCATCCGTGCACAGTACGACCATTTCCCCTTCACTCGCTATGCAGACGCATGTTCATACCCCCACAAATCTGCCCACGCTGCCAGTGTGACCGACGCCAACGGAAAAGAACTAACAGCATTCACGGCCCTTACGGCATCCATAGAAGCGGCCGAAGAAGTTGCTATCGCCATAGCCCCCACCACTGGCGAAGAATATCTAACTATACTCACCGACTCCCAAGCTACTTGCCGCAACTTCCTCATCCGACGGATATCACAACCAGCATTGGCTATCCTACAAGTGAAGCAGCTTCCAGGAATACACATTGTCTCGTCCCCTGGACACGAATCTGGAAACGAGGCGGCACACGCCGCTGCCCGTGTCCACACACACCGGGCCGTTTCCCCAGAGGGAGAAGACGGCCAAGCTCAAGACAACCTCAAGCTCACGCCTCTTCAAAAATACGCCGATATACTCGCCTACTACCGGCACGGGTGCCAACAATATCCAGCTCCTCACGCGCAACTGTCCAGAGCCGACGCTACCATCTTCCGACGACTACAAACTAACCCTTGCCCCACAATACTCTACTCCATGCCATGTACCCTACCCTCAACCCCGCTTCTTGTAAATACTGTCCCCCCCCCCCCCCCCCCCCCCCCCCCCCCTGGCACCTTATACCATCTAGGATGGGAGTGTCAACTAACCCCATCCCTTACTCCTAATCCCCAACCCACATACGAGCAGTGGGCGGTACGGCTGACCAGCCCCGACCTCCCCTCTCAGCGTAGCCTGGTGGAAAGGGCCGGAGTGGCCAGCACAGAGGACTAGGAAACCCCTACCAGGCGGGTGCCCAGACATCAGCACCTAAGGCTCGCCATAATAAAGTTTATTCCTCCTCCTCCTCACTTTGATGAGACGTGAAGAATTTCATAAATTGCAAAGTTTATTAATGTTGATTTATGTATAATACAAGCATCCGTGTGAGATAATACAGTAGGCATTTTTTTTTCTCAAAGTGTGCTGTGTATGATCAAATTAAATTATGATGACTGTTACGTTCGGAGTAGGCACGGAGTGCGAGCTGTGCCGGGTGCGGACTATAGTCTGGAATTACGTTGCTTGTAAGTAAATTTCTTATCTCTCTCTGCATATTTTAATTAAGCCCTTGGGTTATATCTAGATTCCTGTTGCGCATTGAAGGCAGCACCACAGGTAGCAAGGTCACGATGAATGAGAAGTTCGGAGCCCGACTTGACGAGGTGGAGGGCATTCTGCAAGTTGCTCTGAAAATGGGTCTAAACGTGGACGGAGTCGCGTGAGTCTCTTTACCTCTTGTCGGTCTTCGCTGGTGTCATTCGTTTCAGCTCGGGTTTTAATACGAAAGTAATAACTGTCTCATGGAGCGAGCCGACGTCATCAGCTTTGAAACCGCGCCTTGCGGCACCATGCTTAAATATTTTCCCCAAGTGAAGCCAGTTCCCAGCTATGAAACCACGCGAAAAGCTAGCCAACGGCAGTAGTAGTAGTAGTACGCGTTGTAGGTGAAAAACGGGGGGGGGGGGGGGGGGGGGGGGGGAGAGGAGGGAGGGAGGGGGGGGAGGGGAGGAGAAGGAGGGGGGGGGGGAAGAGAGAGACAATCCTGTATTTGCACGAGGCACTTTTGTCACTGACATTGCCAACGACAGTAGTAGTAGTACGCGTTGTAGGTTAAAACCGGAGGGAAAGAGACAATCATGGCATGCGCACGGGGCGTTTATCACTGACTGCCAACGGCACCGAATTCCCCGTGGAGCATGGATTTTCGGCTTCGGTTCCATTGGCTGGCGCGCGTCGACGGGGCTCCCAATGGCGGGACACGCAGCACCAAGGGGTGACCGGTCGTTGAAACTGATGCTGCGCGTCAGTCTCAACGACCGGCCACCCCATGCGCTGCATGTCCGTTAGCGCGCCGCTGCAGACGAAATAAGGGAGAGGAAGAATGATGCAGTACACGCTTTCGCATTCACAACTCATAAAAAGTGCTTAGGTGTGTGTACTCGACCCTTTTTTGTCTTGCTTTTTCGTCTGTCTGTTTGTCTGTCTTAATCTCCTTCGTACGGCGTATCCTCTAGACGGCCAATGTGCCAATGTTAGTATTTACTTTTTTTATTTGACGAGGCTGGTTATTGTAATATCAGGGTATTTAAAATATTCTGGACTCTGAGCTCGTCGTCTCAACGGGTTTGACTACTACTACTACTAGTACTACTACTACTACTAGTACTACTACTACTACTACCACAACCGCCACCATTACCACCACCACCACTACCACTACTACTGCTACTACTACTACTACTACTACTACTAATAATAATACTTTTATTCCAGATATAAGAAATATCACAGTACAAATGAGGGTCTGTCCAAGCCAAAGGAGGCTTGTGGGACAGGTCCCGGCAGCCGAACGGCGAGGCTGGGAAGTGAATAAAGTCACAAACACACACACACACACGCACACACACACACACACACACACACACACACACACACACACACACACACACACAAAAAGAAAGACAACTATAGGCGAAAAAAGCATGGCGGCTAAGACAGGCTACAATCTTAAGTTGATCAGCATTTTTCTCAAATAATAATAATAATAATAATGATAATTTATTCAACAGGAAACCAGTAACACAATACAAATACGGGTCTGCCAAAGCCATAGGAGGCTTTGACAGACCCGTAATAATAATAATAATAATAATAATAATAATAATAATAATAATAATAATAATACATTTTATTCAACAGGTATTCAGTAACACAATACAAATGTGGGTCTATCAAAGCCATAGGAGACTTGTTGGACAGGACACGGCAAGTCGATCGTCGAAACACTGAGCGTTTCACACAGAAAAGCCATGCAATAAATACCAACAATAATAATCAGAATATACTACTACTACTACTACTAGTAATAATAATATATATATTAAAAACACTCACGTGAAGTAGAAGGTAATAAACTACGAAAATGACTGAATATTAAAGTAGTGGTTATTGTGTCCTGTGCACTGGGGATCGGGCAGCTCAATGTGCTACGAGGCGCAATTTGAAACGATCATCATATTGGCAAAATAATGGCAGAGGCGAAAGCACGAGTCATAGAAGCGTTCTTCAGGACGTCAAAATGGCCCGAAAACGTTCGCTAATAAGCCGATATCCCCCCCCCCCCCCCCCCCCCCCAGAAAAAAAAAAAAAAAAAAAAATACAAGAACTTCGGTAACCACAATTTGCAAAAAAATATTGGAACCCCGAGGAACATAATTACTTTTTGTTTGCAGATTATGCATTACCAGCTTGTCTGCGCGATAACTCTTATTATTGCAATAACCACAGTATAGGTTTGGGCGCTTCTGTTGTGGATGAAGTGTAACGGAAATTCTTTTTTATTTATAAGGTTTCAATTCCCTTTCCTCCTTTCTTTTAATTTTCACAATACCTCCCTTTTCCTCTCCCTCAATTCGGTGATCCGCTGCAATGTGCAAGCAAGAATTAAAAAAAAAAGAGAATAATTGTTCACGTTTACTTATTCATTGTATGCCAGGCTTTCCATTCCCCTAGCCCCCGTGTCGTTTCATCTTAAAATCTTCGAAGCGCAGTTCAATCAAAGTATCGGTCGTTCGCGACAACATGCCCCTCAGGTTTCACGTCGGCGCCTCCTACTCCGACCCGGTGATCTACGCCCATTCCATCGAGGATGCGAAGAAGGCCTTTGACATCGGCACCAGGCTGGGATTACGGATGACCACACTTGACATCGGCGGCAGCTTTCCGGGAGGATCTCGGAAGAGAGAGTTGTTCTTGCAGGTGATACAGAACTGTAAACCGACGATTATATACAAAATCTATTTCATTAATTACCAAAGACACTTCGAGGTGACTATTTCACTAAGGGCTCTCTGGGCGGCGCCATCTTGTTCGACTGCAACGCCATCTACATACATCCAGGTATTTCAACGGAATCATCAGGGTAAAAGGAAGAAAGGGCCCGTGCCCGATCCCGATAGCAGACGACAAACCGCGGCGGTCCTGTGCACAGGCGTTTCAACCGATTTGGCGGAATTGAAAAGGGATAGTGCACGCGTCGTTATCATGTCGCTCGGGCAGTTTTGGTGGGCTGTACCGCCGGAATGGCCCAGACATATAGAGGCTTATTTCCCTTTTTCAACTCAATCTAGTAGAATAGTTTTGTAACGTCACGTCACTGTGGTGGCGCTGCTGTTGGCACAGCGCATGCGCAGATGCTTCCCTCCTTGCGAGTACGGTTTCTGCGCACTCGCAGTGCGCACACATCGTCTGGGCAAACGCTGACTTGTTTGTAAACTGGTCTTTGATCTATGAGGAGAGCAAGTCGTCTGCTTCTAGCGCAGGAGTTGCGGTGACGTCAGAATGACACCGAGCTCTGATTGGCTTTGATTGAAAGGGTAGTGGGTAGACCTCAATGCTAAATGCCTTGAGGTCTACCCACTATTTTTTTTTTTAGTCAGCCAATAAGAGCTTGGTGTTCTGACATCATCGCAACCCCTGCAAAAGAAGCAGACGAACTTGCACTCCGCTGTGCTGAGAGCGCAAATGCGTCTGCTTCTTGCGCATGGGTTGCGATGACGTCAGAACGTCAAGCTCTTATTGGCTGATTGGAAAAACAAAATAGTGAGTTGACCTCGAGTCCATTAGCATTAAGGTCTACCCACTATCCTTTCGATCAAATTCAATCAGAGCTTGACGTCACTCTGACGTCATCGCAACTCCAGGGCAAGAAGCAGACGACTTACTGTCCGCTACGAAACGATGGAGCCAATCAAGCGACGCCAAAAGTGCACCGTCCCGGCGTTCGTCGTCTTTGTGCGTCTGCTATCAGCGGCTAAACCAATCACGCATAGTAAATGCGCCGCAATCCCGAGTCCCTTTTTTTTTTCTGTAAGTGATGGCTTTGCCGGTGATGGCGAACCAACGAGGTAGAGGGGCTTAGAGCGATAAACCGGGGTTCCGGTATGCACTCGAAAGTGACCCCCATAAGGAGGCTGCCATTGTACGCAAAGTTGACCACACGTCACATGACCGAACCAAATGCGTGACGTCACAGGAAAGATGGCAGCGCCCATGCAGCGGCTGGCCCCAGCTGAGCCGGAGCTTGTCGGATGCTTTGTTGGTTGTCGTTCGTCTCGGCGAGTTGATTTCAGACGCAGAAGCCGTCATATGAGGCCGGTCGACAGCGACTTCAGAGTTCAGCGTGGTGTCTGACGTAGGCACAAGGTGAAAATACGGAGGAACGGTGTGCATTTCGCTGGTGACCGACGGCGATATTGCCACGGTAGAATCTGCCCTACGTTGCTCGGACCTCGGATTGATTCGGATACCGCTAGGATAAAATTTAAGGCGACGTTTCTGTGCTCTCGTTGACCATCGGAACCTTCGAGATCTGCAGTAAAGCGTGTGCAATATATTTGGATACACAGTTTAGCGACGGAAATTGCGTGAGTCGGGCTTGGCAGTGTGCAATCGTGGTGCCGCTTTGTTCAAATGCCCAAAGGCTCACTTTGGTTGTGCGGTGCACCGGAGAGCTGCCTTGCCGCTTGTAGTTCTCGTGCCGTGCTAAATGATACTGTGCTGCTTACCAAATTGTTCCGGCGTAGACGTGCACTTTCACGGAGCACAGGTGTGTGGTGCGCCGAAGAGCTGCCTTCAAGCTGGTAATTCCTGTGCCGTGCTTCAGGTGATGCTGTGCTGCCTACTAAATTGTTCTGGCGTGGACGTGCATCTTCACGGAGCACAGGTGTTGCAGTTGGTATTGACTCCGCTGGTCTGTCGCACGTTTCGTCGACACCAAAGTTTCATCAACACTCGTTACGCGCATTGCAAGCTGTATGGACATTTCATCGCGCGTGTTACCTATCCAGTCCATCCATCCACGCCGCTTTTGCGACGACAGTCTGCAGCGGCTCATTACCAGAAAAGCGGTCTCGCATCAATTTCAGTTCAGCTCGTCGACGGCAGTCGCCAGACCCCGAAGGAGAGGATTTATTCCGACAGAATTCCACTAAAGCAGTGCAGCTTCTTTAGTGGTCAGGATAGACTCTTTTCTGTCTGTTTTGTTATATTGTCACGGATGCTTCCTCCAGTCCTATTTTCTATCAATATTTACTATTCTGGAAAGTTCCAGACCATGCTCAGCTGTCATTGTATGTTCTGGTGGAGGTGCTGCGCACTTTACCCATAGCCCTTCACCCTGTGTGTACCCTGGCGGCTGCTCAGCCGAGTTGCTCGATAACAAGACACGGGTGGCACATTATCCCGAGTCTTAAACACCCGGCGAGCCATGAACCAAGTCCTATCCCGTGCCCGGCAGAAAAACCGCAAGACGAGTGAGTACCACAAGGACGAAACTCAGAAATACACTACGAAGAACTTGAAATCCAAGCCAGTCGTTGCTACCAGCAAGAACCACCGGAATTAGGTCTTTTGCCAGAAAAAAACGAAGCTGACTAAGCCAAAAAGGACAAACCTGTAGCAGCAAACCACGTCAGCTCCCACCATCGTTTGCACGCCCGTCGCACCTCGCACTCTGATGCCCTTTCACGCAAGGTGCATAAGACGTCGAGGGTTGGATTGAACAATATGACCGTGTCGCCCGCCACAGTGGGTAGATGGACAACCAGCTCCTGCAGAACCTATAATTCTCATGGAAGAAACTGCGAGGCACTGGTTTGAGAACCACGAATCCTTAACGTCGTGGGAAGTTTGCAAGATCGAGCTGAAGTGCATGTTCATCAGCCGACAATGACGAGAGAGAGCCGAATTCCTGATTATGTCCAGGACACGGCCCCAACGAGAGCGTCACCACCTTCGTGGAGGATGTTTTGCTTCTGATCGAGCACACGCCAACCCTGCAGATGCTACAAAAGAAAAGAAGCTAAGAATCCCATGTTCCTCATGCGAGGGACAACACCTTCAGCAGCCTTGTCCGCAACCCCACAACAACAGTCGAAGGGTTCATATCAATGAAGCTTCCAACATTGAACACTGCAGGCCCGAGCATGTCACTATCAACAACTCCCCAGCGTAGCGACACTCGGGTCGTCCAGCTGCAATTTCGACGCCAGCCCCCCAGGCATCCATGACATCACTCACTCCGGTGTCGGGGAGGAAGCAAGGAGGCTAGTTCCTGCCATCAGTTGCCCGGCCTTTATTTTGATCGCCGAGATTGTTTCAGAAGAAGTTCGACAGGCATTTCAACTGGAGACTTCTTCGAGCGAAGCGGCATCTGACGAAACGAGGGCGACTTATGCCACAAAGTCACAACGACCACCACCGGCTACCTCTTACTATTCAATGCCAATTCAACGAAACACCCCAACGCCGAAGCATTCCCGACATTGGGAAGAACCAGTGTAGGTCCGCGCTGAACAAAGTACACCGAGGAATACGGAGGTACTGCGAATGGCCGACCGAAAACTGCTTTGCTACCACTGCATGAGGCCCACCATGTCTACTGGAGGTGCCCGTACCAATGAATTGGCCTGCAAGGGTTCGTGCCAAACAACCCTCGACGACGTCCCGACGAGCGTCCGGGGAAGATTGAGGATTATCTTCGGCGGTCTTTGTCCCTGGTGCCGACATTACCTCGAAGCTCGTGATCTACTTCATCTGGACGGGAGGTAAGCACGACAAAGCAGGTGAGCGGCAATGCAAGGAGAGTTGATCTGGTGTCGGTTGTCGTCCAAGGACAATACCTAATAATTTGCTGACATTAATTATCTGTGTCCACGCCACGAAGCACACAATTTTGAATTTTGAGGAAGAATGCCGCTCAGTGACCTTAACAAAAAGAATGGTTGGTTGCTCTCAAAGGTGGACCGCAAGCATCACGAGACTTCACTTTGCCACACAAGACTTGCACAAGTTGCAGTGGTCATGGGATGCAGAACAAATTTCCATTACGAAATGGAAGTGAAATGGCTTGGATAGCAAACAAACATTGTTGCCAGCTATCAAGTCAACGGTACAGCAAAAGGCACAGCCACATAAGCAATACATGCCCGAGCTTGCTGCATTGATGCAGAAAACTACCAGGAACATTTTGCGGATTAGAAGCCAGCCCTGCAGCTTCAGTGCATCAGATGTCAGTGGGCGCACATGACGTATAATTACAAGACGGCATCAGTCGGTCAAAGTTGCTACTCGACCAAACTGAACACCGACGAGCCAGGAGCGTCATCCCACAACAAGGTCCACAGGTATTACGACTGAACGCCTGACAGGAGACTGTCGCAGAAAGAACTCGTTCTGGAACAATTAACTAAGAATCAATAATTATGTAATCCAGTGGAAATAAACATATTTGATACACTAACCAGATAATCTTATTTCCGCTTGCCTTTACGCCTTGAGAGTTTTTACACCAAGAATTGTGTTCACCACACGCGCAGGTCCTTTTGAGGACACTCGAACCTCCGAAGCTTCAATATTAATTAATGGGACACACCAGACTGGCAGACTTGTTGCATTGGGCTGCACTCATTCCACTTCTCCTGAACACACCTCTGAGCATATACTTTAATTGAATGTGTTGATGCATTGTTATATAGCAGGACACTTCCTATACGTATGACACAATAGACCCTTTGCAGAACCCTATCAAGCAACACAACTGTCACCATTTTTTTTTCGGCGTAAAGCACACAAATGGGCCCCAGTTCACGTCGAATGCTAATGCAGCATTCGAGTCCAATAGGCGCTGAGCCGAGTTCACAGTGATGGCAGACATAACATTCTTGTCGAACAAATTTCCAAAGTATGAAAGCCTGGGGTAATTAGAGTAGCAGCTACTGTAATTCGCTTCATCACAATTTGGCAAACAGCAAAGGCTACAGTCTCGGTGACCCAATATACACGTTGGAGAGAGGCACATGACAACAGGTCATTCAGAGTGCTTGTCTGCACAGATTTGTCACACATCTTCGCTCTGTCTCTCTGATTGGCTCGAGGGGGCTGTGGTGGTTGCCCTTTTCCAAGTTACAATGTGTAGGCAACCCACACTTTTCAAAAAAGGCTCTTGAAGAGACCGAAAGGAATGGTCAACATTTTTCAACAAGACTGCTCTTCAGGCAAGGGATGAACACAAATATGAATAATCTTATCCAGGTAATTAGAACAAGTAAATAATTGACCGACTAATACAATGCACTCCTGATGAAAAAAAGTATTGCTGCAATAAATCCTACGAAAGAGAAAAAGGTGCAGTTAATCTATGCATACACCAAAACAGTTGTTCTCATTGCAAGTCGAATAGCTTTGAAGCAGGTGCCTGCAACGATTTATTTATCCCCACACTCAATAAAGCGTCATCCTCGTAGCTGAAAATAAGTGTGCACTTCGCACTCACCAAAAAAAGGATGAAAGCGATCGAATGTAGAATCGTCGATTAGCACAAAGGGTTAAAGATCGCAGGAGCTTCCTCGCTAAAAGTTGCTATGGTTATTCGGTGACGCAGGCCTGAAACAACTTCTCATAGACCCTAACGCGATGTATACCTTTCGCGTCGATTCTCAGACATTCCAACGTTCAAACAAAGCTAAGAGAAGGCAAACATTTTATGCTAAAACCACTCAAAGTTTTATCGATCCTCGAACAGATCCCGAATCCGAGCACCGGTACGGCGATACGGCTGATGCTGTCTCACAGGTGTTAATATCCAGATGATCCAGAACGATCTTGCGCAAAAAGGGTATAAAGTCTAATTCCTTCATATCTTCACATTATACCTGCGTCAGCAAGCACGAAGAAGCCCGAAATCATCGTCGGGAAGCCGCTGCACATCACGGCTGCCGAGCACCGAACAAACTCGCATCCGACAGCTCTGGGCGCTGCCATCTTACCTGCGACGTCACGGCTCTTGTGAGGTCACGTGACGAGTGGTCACATTTGCGTAAAACATGGCGGCAACCGGGGGGGTGCCACTTCCGAACTTCCGGTTTATCACTCTAAGCCCCTCTACCTCGTTGTGGCGAACGTACAAAGACGGCGAGCGCCGTGACGATGCACTTTTTGGCGCTGCTCGATTGGCTGTGTCGGATCGTAGTGTACGCTGCGATCAGACACAGCCAATAGTGTAGACGGCTTCGTTGCGTGGCCATTTCAGCAGCTCATCCGGCGGCATTGCATCCGTTTAATTCGTCGCACGTAGGTGTAAATCTGGTTGAACATTTTAAGCTATCGGAGGTTAGGCTGGGGGGATTTTTTGTCTATATTTTTGGTGTCAGACAAAAAATCGGTGTTTGTCGGGGATTATGTTGAAGTAAACATCACACGGCCGTAGGATTCCCTAGTTTCCAGTTAACATGCGCGTTATTCAAATACTCGCAGTTTTCTCTGGTCCGACAAGAAAAAGGAGCGAGATAAAATCTAGCTTCCTGAAAAAGGAGCAGCCCCGCGGAAAAAAAATCGGTGATTATCGGGGCTTACGTTGAAGTAAACAAGACACGGCCGTTGGATTCCCTAACCTCCAGTGAACACGCGCGTTACCCGAATACTTGCAGTCGTCTCTGGTCCGACAAGAAAAGGGTGCGAGATAGGATATGTAGCTCCCTAAGAAAGGAGCAGCCCCGCGGGCAAAAAAATCGGTGATTATCGGGGCTTACGTTGAAGTAAACAAGACACGGCCGTTGGATTCCCTAACCTCCAGTGAACACGCGCGTTACCCGAATACTTGCAGTCGTCTCTGGTCCGACAAGAAAAGGGTGCGAGATAGGATATGTAGCTCCCTAAGAAAGGAGCAGCCCCGCGGGCAAAAAAATCGGTGATTATCGGGGCTTACGTTGAAGTAAACAGGACACGGCCAGAGGATTCCCTAGCCTCCAGTGAACATGCGCGTTACCCGAATACTTGCACTCGTATTCGATCCGTCAAGACAAGGAAGCGAGGTAATATGCGTAGATCCCTATGAAAGAAATAGCCCCGCGGACAAAAAAATCGATGTTTATTGAGGCTTATGTTGAAAAAAACAGGACACGGCCGTAGGATTCTGTAACCTCCAGTGAACATGCGCTTTGCCGGATACAGTCGTCTCTAGTCCGACAAGAAAAAGAAGCGAGGTAAAATATGCAGCTCACCAAGAAAGTAACATCCTCGCGGGCAGCTATATCACTGTGGCTTCTGTTCCGTGTCAACACAACGTGTCGACAGCTCACGACCGAGTGCCTTACAACCTCCTGGGATCTTTTACAACGAGCGAACCCACTGGCGACATCTATCGGGCAGCAGGGAACACCTGCGACTCCCGTAAAACTTGCCAGTTCTTTCGCGCATTACTCTTTTTTAAAATTATTATTATTGCCTTTGAAGAAACCTACGTCAATGTTATAAACGACAATTTTTTATAGATAGTGTGTACGTTTAATCTCGCAAATACTTCAAAACCTTCGCCATAGCGAAAAACAGTTTCAGGGTCACCTCATAGATTGCGGCGGCGTGCAGAGTGTTTTCTTGTCGTAAGAGATCACAGGAACAGGGTCGTAAGCAAAGGTAAGAGTGTGAACCAGCTTTTATGTCCAGCCTAGCTTCCTTCATGGCGATGATGTCCAGCTCTCTATAGGGTTGGCGTGGGCCATTTTGCGTGCTCACTTCTCGTTGTCGTTTTTTTTACCAGGTGTGCGGACACGTTCGAAGGGCACTTGCAACGCACTTCCCTCCCTCGAGCGGGGTTCAGGTGCTCGCCGAGCCGGGACAGTATTTTGTCACATCTGCGTACTCTTTAATTGTCAAAGTAATTGGCAAGAAGAAGCGAAACATCACAGTCGATGGCGAGTGTTATTTCTTTCTTTTGTATTTTAGTTGGACAGGCGTATTTTGTTAAACTAATGAGGACGATACGAGGGGTGTTCCATATGTTTTGACTCCTAGGCTGTAACTTTTTATTCAGTAATGGAATTGCAAGATGTTACATTCGAATGAATGTTTGAAATCTCCTCTTTTTGATGAGCACAAAACTTTTCAATGTAGTACCCACAAGCGGCGACGCGCTTCCGATATTGGAGCACTACTCTCCGCATGCCGTCGTAGATGATTGAGGGCAGCTGTTGGCAACACCACCGGCGCACTGCACCCGTAACCTCATTGTCAAATGCAAACCGTGTACCGTCCAGCTGTTTCTTTATCTTGGAAAACATTCAAAAGTGTGATGCCGGACTACGCATGGACATTTACCCCCTTTTCCCGTATCTCAACACTACCCCCCCCCCCCCCCCCCCCCCCCCCCCTGTGATGGCGGGAGGTCCGGGCTGTAAGTTGAATGAGGCAAAACATCTTGGAACTGCAGCTTCTCCAGCGTGCCGTTGGTCTTGTCAACAGCCGCCATCAAACTTTGCGCATATGACGGCATGTGGATAGTAGTAAACCGGTAGCGGAAGTGCATCGCCACCGATGGAGACTATATTGAAAAAGTTATTTGCTCTTGGGAAAGAGGATATTCCAAACTTTCATTCGAATGTAAAATCTTTTAATTCCATCACTGAATAAAAACGTTACAGTCTAGGAGGCAAAACTTATCAATCACCCTTCGTAGTTCTCTTTTTGTTTTGATGCCTCAAATATGAACATCATCAACATTTTGTTCACTATACGTACTTACACAAAGAAGAAATAAAATCATACCATTTGCACAGACAGTAATACTAACTAAAATATAAAAACAGTATTTCAAGTTTATCCAACCAATCATAACAGTCACTATAAATTGTTCCGCAAGTGTCGAAGCCTAGGGTAACGACGCAGTTATATAAGGTATAAATCGGCGAAAGAGAAGTGACAAAATATGTAGCAGAATTTCCACCCAATAACGAATAGCAAGGTAGTACATGAATTTAGGATACCAGGACACCTAACTATATATGATCGTAGTTTTTATGAAATCTCCCTTCTATACCTAAATTCCACCTTGGTAAAGCGCATCTAACAGTCCGAGAGCAGCTGCTTGCGCATCATGTGGTGATTGCATTCAATCTAGAGGTAAGACGCTACTGTCCTTCGTATTATAGATGACTTATGATAATTTTATCTTTCAGTTAAGTTGTTTGGGAAAAACACGAGCTGCGTTGGGTCATTCACGGCTGAGCAGATTCAGAAGCCCAAGACTGCTGGATACAGAAAGCTAATTGGACACTTCAGTTATGCCAGATCTCACCTTACTGGAGCTGAGCAAAGCCGACCCAACCCGATATCACCACCACTCCGAATTGATCCCGACCCGATACGAGCCTAGTGGGAGCCGAGCCGACCCCACCCCAAACCCGACTTGACCCCGATCCCAACCCGATCAACACCTCCTAGATAAGAAAGCCTAAGTGCTAAATTTTCCTGCGTCACTGAAGGAGGCCACCGTAGGCCGAAGATTGAACGCGACTTTGGTCTCAGCGTTCGGCTAGGAGTCGTGCTCTCACTGATTGAACACGAGCTTTAGCCGAACGCTGACGCAGCACTGGGGTCCAATCTCTGGCCTACAGTGGCCTTCCTCAGTGACGCAGGAAAATTCAGCACTTACAATTTCTTATCCAGAAGGCGTTGACTCGATCCGACCCGACCCGGCTCGATCCGACCCGACCCGACCCGGCTCGACCCGACCCGACCCGACCCGACCCGGCTCGACCCGACCCGACCCGACCCGACCCGACCCGACCCGACCCGACCCGACCCGACCCGGCCCGACCCCGATTCGGTCCGACCCGACCCGGCCCGACCCGGCTCGTCCTGACCAGAACTGGTCTGACATAATTTGATCTCAGTTCAAGGCGAATAAGTTAGTTTGGCAACTTAAGCGCGATTTCTGAGTCTGATTCGTAATCCATTAAGCTTGATTCTTACTGCTTTCAGAGAGGCTATCAAAATAAAAATCTGTTAGAATAACGATTCCAAGTACTACGTGTTGACCGTGTTGACAACGAATGCCTGGTAACCTGATACAAATAAATTTCATTTCAGGAGTCGCTTCTCAGCACCAAGACGTATACATCAACGAAAGCATTGATAACGCAATTTCAGGAAATCACTTTCCAATTCTTGGTGTCAAGATTCATCCCCTAAACGTAAGTGACAGCACAAAAAAGAAAACATCCGATTGTAAATAATTGTGCAAGTGGGTCGCCGCCTTGACTCGGTGCAGAATGCATAGTGTGATCAAAGAAATACTATTTTTTTGTTTACTACAGAAATAGCGTTTAGTCTCCTTCCCACCATAGACGTTTTCCGTTTCCTTTCGTTCCCAGTCACGTGGGTTCCATATCTGGTATGCGGGACGAAAAAATAATAATACAATTCTAGGTGGAATATGCGAGAAAATATAGGCGAGGCGAAACAAGAATGTGTGGCAATCATTCATTTTTCGTGATCACGTTCCAGCGGCGTGGAGAGATCAAAACGATGTTTTAACGCATACCAGAAGTGACGACATTCAAGATGGCTGCGCCCTCGTGGAGAAGGTGTATAGCGCTGGCGCTCCGGACCGGATGCCAAAGCAGAAATAACCGTCATCTTCAAAAGTTATAAGCGACTTTCTGAAACCTTCAACTGAAAAATGGGCCCATTCCCGTCTCCAGGGGTAAACTTGGTCGGCCACCATTTCGCCTTTTAAAATTGTTTGAAATTGTTTATAGCATTTGATTAACAGTTAGCTCTAAAACTTTGGCGTCTGGTCCTGATCCCTACACTCTAAAAAATCCCGAGCGTCTGCTTCCCCGCAAAACATTTTGGGAGAGCCAATCGTTACAATCCACGGGTGGATCTCGGCGAATGTTCAGGCTGATGGTTTGTATAACCCCCCCCCACCCCAAAAAAAAAAAAAAAAAATTAAAAAAATAAATAAATAGAAACAGTGGTTTTCGGAAAACAAACAGCGCAAGGACAAGGACAGAGTAGAAGGCGGTAGACACACACAGCGCTGTGTGTGTCTACCGCCTTCTACTCTGTCCTTGTCCTTGCGCTGTTTGGTTTCCGCTAATATGAATGACCAACTAGCCCAATCGTCAACACTACAGTGGTTTTGTTTGATTTACCTGCACCTGCTGCACCGGTGCAGAAAAGAGTAGGGCAGTGTACTTCCGGTATGTTTATCGAGATACGACCATAAGTACACCGCCCTGTACTTTACTGCACCGGTGCAGGTATATCGAACGAAGCTAGTCCGTGTGGTGACACCGAGCGTGGCACAATGCCATGCTCAGCTCCACAGCGCAGACTGTTTTCTTGGGTCTAAACATATTTTCGGCATCATCCCTCGCCCAACTCCCTCCGTAGCTAACAGCGATTGATTCTCGCGTGTGCTGCGTGGGATAGTGGAGGCTCCAGATTTCTTAAAAGATAAACGCGCAAAAAATCGTTAAAAGAAATCCATCTACATATTTCCAAGACCTTCTGGCAGGTGTCATCTTCAGAGTTGATGCGTATGCCGCGTGCTTTACTTCCTTTACAAAGCGACGGGCACGTGCGTGGAGACCAGCGTCACTTGATCAAAGTCAGTTGACAAGCTTCCTAGAACGGCTGGCGCATTTTCGTGGCGCGTCCGCTTGGTGGCGCTCGCTACGCAATCAGCCCCCCTTTATGGTCAGAAGCGCCGGAACCAGTGGAACGTTCAGTGCACGTTGCCTGCGGCGGAAAGTTATTTTATTGCGTTTTTTATGGTAAACAAAGTTTGCACGAAAGTCTGCGCAAAAAACAATAACAATACCAACAGAAAAAAAAAAAAGTCGTTTGAAAACGTTTTTTCTTTTATTTTGTGACTCGTGGAGGAGTTGCTGCATCGTGGTGTTAGGAATGCTATCCGCCCGCACCTGCTTGCGTGCTGGCAACAGAGAAGAACCGTTTTTGAACGACGCTCTTCAGTGGAGCATGCCAACTGGCAGATCTAAGAACGTCGCTAGAGACTTCACGCTTGGCTGTGCATTACAAAAGTTTAAACTTTGCGCATTTCTCTGACCCCTTTCGAGGTATGCAAACCGCGGAAGGGTGAACACTAAGGTATGCGCCGCGCTTCTCTTTGTCCTGTCCAGCCGCCATACGATCGTCCTCACGACCTTCTCACCACTGTGTGGGGAGGTTCCCGCAATTCGACCGACTACGTCATGGAAAGGGGACAGCTGTTCGACGTGGACGCGGACGAGTGGCTGCTGATGGACAACATGGGCTGCTACGGCATCTCTTCGGCGCAGGGCTTCAACGGCCTAGGCTTCCCGCCCGTCAGATACATCGCACCAGTGGCCATGGTGCCTTCCGTCCAGCGCATCGTCGATTCCATGGTGATGCGCGGTGGTTACGGTCAGGTCGAACAAGCCATCAAGGCACGTACCCTCCTCGCCTGTGCGCCCTAAGTCGAGGTCACACTGCTAATGCACCACGCGAAAGACAGTGTGCAGACACACTGTCTGATGCGTGTTCCCTTTCTCGTATCTCTGCAGACATGTTTGTGAACATGTCCTTTGTATCATGCGGCTTTAGCGTTGGCTGACGGATAGAGAGAGGCAAATGAAGTTGAAACAAGACATCTAGGGAATACGTATACTGTCATTCTGTGTATGACCATTGTCATAATTAAATTGTCAAACTTCGGGAAGGGGAGGGGCGGGTGGCTATAGTTTTTGAGGTGATAATAGAAGACTAAGGAAAAACCATCTCGGTTGCTTGAATTTTAACAGACACTATGGCATTTTTTGATGACGGGAAACGAATGTTTAGTTGTAATGTGCCAGATGAGGCCAACATAAGACAAACAAACAACTAGTACATGTTGGGTAATTAATTTGCTAATGATAACTTTACCCTCTCCGCTGTTGTCCCGAAGGAAATATTCCTCTGTTTTAAACGTTCTTTTTTTTTAGAAAGTATTTTTACACATAGGTGAATGCGGGGAACCGCGATTTCGTCAACCTGTCCTTGTGACAGCTTTTTTTTTTTTCACACGGCTCCGGTATCATGTACTTAGTACCTGATGCAAATAAGCAAATAAAATAAAATCAAACACCCTGGATATACCGTGTTTGCTCGAGTAACAGCCGCACTTCTTTTGAACAAGGCAATAGCGTCTACTTTCCTGCAGAATACCCATGCAGCCAATCATATCGTTCTGCATGAAAACTCCAGGGAATGACAGGGTCGAGAATTCGATTCTCTGTAAAAATGGGATTCGAGCAGATAGCATTTTCGCGTGAAGACGTAATTTGCTCCGTAAATCTTAACGATTTTTCTGCTCATCGTGGTGATTCAGTCTCCGTGTTCCGCGGCACACCAGAATCACAGGTTTTCTTTATCAAAAGTGCGGCAATTACTCGAGCAAATACAGTGTGTGTGTTTGTGTTTGGCGCAGAACCTGACAAAATCAAGAAACATAGAACACACACACACGGTTTTTAATTTCCGGATACATTGGGAATACGACTAAATAGGGTAACATGGAGTGTATTTAACTTGATTTGCACGTTTTGATGCCTCAAGCTCGTGAGAAACACTTAACAATATTTCAATCTCGACACCGAAAAAAACCCAAAAAACCCACTACAAGTGAAACTTTATGGCGAATTTCAAATGTAGTGATGCAAAAGTAAATAAAGATTAAATGCGTTGGTGAGTGGCTAAGGGAAACTGCACGAGACAGCGAAGATTGTATTTTTTGACTCGCCTAACAGATCTGCGGACAATCACTTTGTCGGAAAGTGCACGCTCAAGGTTTTTTAGAGTAACTGTTAATTTGCTCTTGACTATTTTAAGTCAGCTATGCTTATGGGCCTAGCCCACTGAAAAAATGCAGGTATGCCATTTGAGTTGTACTGTTTGAGTGCAACTTACTTCCGCACATGCTTTCGGCTATTGTTGAGACTGCAATTTGTTTCTTTTAGCTCCATTTCCCGCGGATGTCCCTCGATGCCGATAGAGGCATCTGCGCTCAGCCCCTTCCGCTTCGGAAGGTGCGTCAGTTGATATCAACTGGGATGAGCACTGGACGCGAAGAACGTTCTTCAGTCTTCGTAGAGACGGACATACTTGCCATTGCTCGGAGAGTGATAAAAGAACAGGTGAAGTACCTGATCCTATTAGCTTCGTTATTTGGTTAACCCTCTGCACGGACCCCTAAGAACAGATTGCAAGTAGACCTGAGATGTTGAGTGACACGTGGACTAAACTTGCTCTAGACTACGACAAATGTCTCGCACAGCCACTTTCGCAAAAAAAAAAAAAAAAAAAAAGAAAGATTGAGACAAAGCAGGCGTGTTCATTTTGCTTGGACTATGAATATGCGTATAGGGTCACAATGAGAAGGTATTTTTTAGTTTAATACCTCTGTCAGATAAGCGTTCCAATGTCTAGTGTTCAAACGAACGCCCAACAATTACTATTCGCAGGCGTGCGCGTCGTTTAACGCTCTACGAAACCTGGAACGTCCACTTCCCCTCAAAGCACTCGGGAGACATTATGCTCAATGCCAGAGCACAGTCTGTTTTTCTAGGTCTATTTTCAGCCCCTCACTGGCCGAGCACCATCCGTACATTGGAGCGATTGGCTCTCCCAAGAGCTTTGCTGGAAAGTAAACGCTCCGGATTCCTCAGTGTGAATGCTTAGCAACTAAACGAACACGCAACAAATACTACGTTGGCAAGCATGCGACGTACACGAACTCTCACCAGCTAGCGGGTTCGAATACCGGCCGAGGTGCCGTCAGTCTGACTGAGCTTTCAGTTGCACGCCGTAAAATCCCCGTGAAATTGTTTTTTTCCCCCGATTTTGTCGTTGAGACGTACCGAAAGCTCTTCGTTAATTAGGTACGAGAAACACCCAAAATGTTATTCACTCATTTCGTTACGTCGGACTGTAGTCATTGAAAGCCACTTTGATGCCCAGCGTTGCCCTTGAGCAAAAACTCCCAATAACTATTTATTTCATCCCGCTCCGCGTGCGCGCCTCATAATAAATGTAGCACCCTCTGTCAAAAATAGGATCGAAACGCGTCTTCGAAACGCGAATCACCCATTCAAAAACAACAACAACAACAACAACGACGGCGAATGTGAGGCTTGTATACGATGGCGTACACCACTAAACTCAAAACCGCGAGATATGAAAAAAAAAAAAAGCGCAAATATTGCGAAATCTGAAATGTACCTGTGCCTTCTTCCCGGCCGTTACTGCTTTCAGCCGATCGACGTGAAGTGCTGCAAATGCTCAATGCTGCTCAGGAGCAAAAGTTTTAAAAACTGATATAAAAACACTTGTTGGAGATTTGATCTTTTTTTTTTTTTTTTTTTTTTGCAATTCTGTGTGTTCTAAAACCACGTCAGTGTTTTCAGGTTTACAGTATTTCAAGTTAGGTTTTTGGACATCAAAGGTCAAGAAATGCAGGGTATGGTTAGTGGCGAGCATATCATTATTGCTCCACAGCCAATCGAATTGCTACATTAGCCAATGAGAATTCTGAAGGTCGTAGCTGACGAGTGTCATTCATGGCGTATCAGCTCGCGATTCATGCACTAGGTCGTCGATTTCCCAGCTTCGCGTGGTCTATAAACCATTGAGATCCATGCCTGACAGGGGTATTAGGCATTCTGGGTCCTGACCAGGACGTAAACATGTTTGCATAAAGATATAAAATTATTTTTATTATTTTACGAGCATGCCATCTTTATACGCTATGCGATATTTGTCACGTGGTTTCGACCGCAGCGATATGCATCATTGAAATTAATTCGAAGGTCCCGATTCGGGAATCTGCTTTATTGCAGGAAAGGAACGAGGCGTTCTTCATATGTGATTTGAATGACCTGGAATCCAAGGTTAATCTATGGCGCCGAGAGTTGCCTCGGGTGACGCCGTTCTTTGGTGAGAGGTCGCTCTCCGCGCTTTTTACGTTTCTTATATAATTCTTCCCAGAGAGCGTTGAAAGAGGCTTTTTGTGTCTGCGTGTCAAGCGCCGTGACATTTTGCCTCTTCGTCACACGGTGCACTCTTTCCTTTTTGCTCTCTGGTGGACTTAAGAAAGCCTTCTGCCGTCTCGAGCCGTAAAATTTGAGTGGTGATTTGCCAACGTTTTGTCTCATACGCTTTTTCTGATTGCATGCTGCCGGAATCTAGTAGTTCAAAAAATGCCCCAACAGGAACATTGAGGCACTCTAAACAGGGGCGCCAATGCTATAGTATCTGCGATTTGTTAAGGGCTTATTATGGCTGGTAAGGACTCCCTTGGCTTGTCATGCTATAACTTTAGTATATAAATTAGCAACAAAAACAACATCAACAACAAAGCAAACAAGCAAACAAACAATGCCGAGTTTCGTGAACTCCCTGTTGAACAGTTGTGCGGGAATATCTGGGGTTGTAAAAGGAACTAAAGTACGTATCAAGTCACTTGTAGTGAACATTTACCGAAGGTAAATATTACGTATTTAGAAGTGTTGGTAAATAAGAATACAAGAAAGCAGTCCCAATAAACAACACGGAAAAGCGTCTTCACATACCTATTGTACAATTCCGGTCGGATTACGAAAACACCCCCAAACACGTGAACACATGCTAGAGGATCAGACACTTATGCCAAAATGTACCAAGGTATGTATCGAGATACCCCCTTCAATATCTCCAGCCAGGCAAATATTGTACACGCTACACCATCCCTCAAGTTCCTAGTCCAACTTTTCGGATCATTTGCCTCTCGTAGGAAACAGTTGTTCAGGTCAGTTTCAGCAACTTGCTTAGAAGGACAAGAGGTTCGGTGTGGAATATATTTTCGCACGGGTTTTTATTTAGAACTTTCAAAAGATAATATCTTTCTATTCTAGAAACTTTGTTTAGAAGTAAGAAACAGTTTAATAAGAATTAGTGTGTTGTTCACTAGGAACACTTTAACACTTCCTTCAGTTTATCAGTTTAAAAAATATAGTGAACTTTCCCCTCTGGCGGAGTAAACTCGTCGTACAAAAAGTATTTAAATAAACGGCATTCATTCTCTAGTCAATTATAACACAGACATCTGAGGAAAAAATGAGTTCGTATGTTGCAGCAGACTCGAACCCAAACCAACACGCTCCGTTATCATTGATTTCAACGGTAAGTTTATTGAAAAAAAATCCGCCGCTCGTCCTCAATAAAGTTTTCTTTTTGTTTTCTCAACATTTGCAAAACTATTATTTATAACTTAAAAAAAAGAACAGTGGGTGTTAGATTTTGTCTAATTCCCACACGTCTGACTCCCAGTGACCGCTTGCTTCCCCGCAAGCTATAGAACTTATTTCTGGAAGAACGAGCTGCTCAGGCACTGACGAAGTAAACATCCCAAATTTTGAATTGCTCGAATAGTTGAATGCTCTGTTTTGACCGTGGATATACTTCGATACCAAGTGTGCGCGATGTATTCTCTGTTGAAATATTGTTAAGTAAGAAAAGATATGCAGTCCGTTTTCGACTGCACGCCGTAGCGTTGTAACGCCCCATTATGTTGCAATAATGTTTCGTCATTTTGCATTTTTTCTTATGCCAGGTTTTCAGTTTTATGGAGTATGCATTTTTTTCTCATATAATTATATGGACTTCAGCGATGTTTATATGAGCCTGAGGCTTTCTTTTTTAAAAAAAGTCTCGGGGCGTGGCTTATTAAGCTTCCGCCTCTTGCCTCGTGATTGGGTCTTGAGATTTTTATCGACTAATGCAGCAATCTCATTGACTGGGACGAGATAATGAGATGCACGGGGCTCGCCACGCCCTGCTTTTCTTATGCTGTCAGTGACTATATTCAGGGTGTTTAATTTGAAACTGAAATTTGTGAAAAAAGCAAAAAAAAAAAAAAAAAAGCCGAGTTGCAGTTTGTGCAGGTGGGATATACGGCCAGGGGGACGTAATATATAGGGGGCCAATCAACGTTCAGTCGGCTAGTTAACTGAAATATGTTAATTAACGTTTTAATGATTGAAAAATAAACATATGTTTCTAATAAGAAACTTGCGAAGCGTCATGAAAAACCGTTTAATCAATCTTTCTGAAAATTACCTATTTAGTGGCTACCGATTACTCTCAGTAAATTTCCAATTGAACCATATGCCTATTTGCACTAATAGAAAAAATTAATGAACAAGTTATAGTTAAGTATTTGGCGTTTGCGACGATTAGCTCCCTATATTACGTCCCCATGACCGTTAGCTCACCTGCACAAACCGCATTACAGTAGCTTCACGACGTAATTTTTTTCAACAAATCTGTTAAGCTTAAAAAGTCGATAATCAATGGAATACATATGATGGAAATGCGTTTGCATTGTTTCTTTATGACCCCCTTCTTACCCATTTTCATTCGTTTAGGACCCCTTACCATTCGTTTATGATCGCTTTCGTGTCATTTATTAATGCCTTTTCTTTTCGATTTCCTTTGCATGCTTCCTGCGCCTTTACCTCTGCGGCAGCAGCCAAACGACTCAAACCACTCCTTCACACTGAAAGCGGATCCGCGTTCGCAAAGCGCTTGCGAACGCGGTTGTATGAAGATCCAGTACAATTGCACGCGGACTCAATGACATCGAGTGCGCGTGATATTGTACTGGATATTTATACAACCGCATTCGCGACCGCTTTGCGAACGCGGATCAGCTTCCAGTGTGAATGAGCGGTAACGCTCTTCTTCTGTCCTGTCCTGACGTCTCTGACGCGTGGTCTTGACTTTCTTCCATCGTCACTCTTGGATACGGTCAGCCATATCACTCGTGGAAAGAACCACATCCATCGCCCGAGCGAAAACTGAGCTGGCGCCGCGCCGCATTCCAAGGCGGCGGGGCGCCTGCTCGTCTCTGTCTCCGCGCCAGCTGTGCGAGGCTCGTATTCGTCCGAAGGGCTGACGTCAGCACGCGTCACCCTCTCTCCCCGCCGCCGTGATGTGACATTAAATCTGTAAACACAATACCTCGTCACCACGCCACTCTCCTCGCGAGGTCATGCGTAGCGCTGACAAACGGATGCACGGATAGACATGGACACGTTACCCCCAAAAGTAAATAAATACCTTTACTCATACTCAAAAAGTAACTAAATACGTTAGTCGTTACTGATTCTCGAAAGGAACACTTTTTACTTTGCTTCTAAAGCAGTGAGCTACTTTTTTCTTTACTTTGACCACTAAATACACAACTACTTTTGTTTCGCGGTTTATTGTTTTTTTTTCAGTAGTCGTAGCATTGAAACAGTAGCTGCCACTCGTAGTTTTCAACAGTTATGTTTCCCCGCTTCATCTCCGGCGGCGCTGAAGAGTCGTTCTACCGACGCGCTCGGAGGAGCTGCAGTGTTGGGCTTCAGAAAGAGCTGGTGAATCTGGGATTCCCCTTTCTCTTTTGTTCTCTCTGCTTATTCTAATTTGACAATGAATTATGTGCATTTCCGCGTTGGCAACCTCCGGGTTTACATTCGGTCTGTACACGATTCTAGAATGTTCAACCGACGAACCTTATTGTGCTCGCTGGGTGAATGACATTCCCAGCTGTAGAGTTTGACTGACGTGTTCAGCGATAAGCGTTGCTATACTGTCATTCTGTTTAGTTGTTTTTCGGGTCGCCCATCTGCCTTTGCTGCAATATACACATACTGAAGTTAGACTTAAAACGAGGCTGTTCAAACGTTGTAGTACACGTTACTCCTCAAAGTTAACAAAATACCGTTTCTCGTTTCTTTTCTAAAAAAAAGTAACTAATACGTTACTCGTTACCCAGAGCCGTATATGTAGAGAGTTTGGCCATTCGTTAAGAAGTATAGGAGACAGATGAGGAGGCGCCATTGGCCGAAAGCGTGCTGGGCGTGTTCCAGGGCGTCTTCAGAAATTCGAATGTGACCAACCAGAAGCCGGAAATAATACCCTGATGGTTGTCGTGAGAAACAATCCTGATATCTGCATCGGAGTCACTCTCGGTGACTGAAAATATGGTGCACGTGATGTTTCAACCACGCTCATCCAAAATCATGGTGGAAAAGTGCGACTAGCCGAACGATCGACGTAATCCTACGCCAAGCGTCGAGAATCTGCCTTCCGAGCGGTCACACTCTGTGCGAGCCAAACAGAGTTGAGCGGCGCATTCGTTTCTTACATCTTTCTGCATGTGACCATGATCGTGCACCCTATTTTCAACCATAAAGGGTTACTAAATTTAACTCCTACGCGCTTATTAAAACGACCAAAACTGTTTCTCGCTACCACCGCTAGGGCCCGTACGAAAATGTCAGATTCAGGCCGGAATGAAAAATGCCGGTTAACCGGCATTTTTCATTCCGGCCTGAATCTGACATTTGGGTCTAGGCGGAATTCCGCCTAGACCCAAAGTTGGAGCACCAGTTTGTATCCAGCCTGGAAACGCGCAGTTCCAGCCCCAGTTTTAAACCCTGGACCGTTGCACCGCCGGAATTCCCGCTGCGCTCACCACTGCAGACTCTACAAAAGAATTTCGTGTTATGCCCTTAGCCGTTAAAACCGAGAGATCGTCGCGATTTCAGACCCACTCCGCCTGGGTCTGAAATCGCGACGATCTCTCGGTTGTAACGGCTAAGGGCATAACACGAAATTATTTTGTTGAGTCCAGTGGTGAGCGCAGCGGGAATTCCGGCGGTGCAACGGTCCTGGGTTTTAAATTGGGGCTGGAACTGCGCGGTTCCAGGCTGGATACAAACTGGTGCCCCAATTTTGGGTCTAGGCGGAACCGGCATTTTTCATTCCGGCCTGGATCTGACATTTTCGTACGGGGGGATTCTTTAGGCTTCTGGTTGGCCAAAAGAGCATGCCAAGCTCACTTTCTGCGTCTGGTGCACAACCTGGCTCTGCCCGCGCCTCCCATTAACAAAACTCTCTGTATACACGGCTCTGTCGTTACTAAAAAGTAACTTGGTAGAAGTAACTTGTTACTAGTAACGCGTTACGTACATGTCTTCGCACAGACTGACACCAGAGGGTTTTTGTGAAAACAAGCATTATCATGCTAACCCATTAAAAAAAGAAGAGAGAAAGAAACACCCTGCGTGCAATCGCTCACACGTTTGCGTTTGTTCACTATTAGGTGACGTGTTTCGAAGAACCTTGTTTATTTCGCGGAGAGTTTTCAACCTGGTTTGGCTGCGCGCAGGAATGTGTTTAATAAAACTTAATTTTCTTCCAGCTGTGAAAGCCTGCGCGGATCCCGTGGTTGTGCACACTCTGAATTCTATGGGCATTAACTTCGATTGTTCCAACAAGGTGACATTTTCATGCCAAAACGTCATCGAGTGTCATATTCATTAGCTCAGAAACCAGAATATAAAACTGGCATAACTAGAAGACAAACACGCCTAAACGTAAACACTAAGTTATCTATGTTTGTTTTAATTGTACAAATAATACGTTGACTAAAATGCAGCAAAAAAAAGAAAAACAATCGAAGACGAGGTTTTGGAGAAACAAACATACAAAATTGTTATATTCAGCTTGGATATGTTTGTTCGCGCATAAACTATTTGTGCAATCATTACATTTTAGGCCCTGCACGAATGTAGTTAGTGACACAAACACACAATAAAAGCAATTCCTCTGAGCTTCATAGAGTCAGTCGACTTCTCTCTTAGACAGCTATGTCCGTCGCAATGTCAGTCATTGGTCACAGAAGTATATAGGGTATGGGAGAGGGGGAGGACAGGGCTGTAATTGTTAAACTTGACAGTCTCAATAGATCCTTTTCAAAAGTCCGTCAAGCAACCCAGACTGTCGCTATTTCTTGGGCACGAAGTGTGTGATTGCATCGGAGTTCGCGCCGAGCACCGACACACCCCTTTTGTCTAATACGTGGTCACAGTAGTACGTGCCCAAAAATGGCAGGCTGAGATATTTGGCGCAGAAGATTGTAGACAGCGCCCACTTAAAAAAAAAAAAAGAAAAAAAAATTACAGACTAGGACCCAAGTCGCCGCCTGATTCAAAGGGTTTAGAAGCATCCATCCACCCATCCATCAGAGCCGTGCGTAAAGAGAGTTTGGTCAATGGGAGGCGCGGGCAGAGCCAGGGCGTGCTCCAGACGCAGAAAGAGTGCTTGACATGCTCTCTTGGCCAACCAGAAGCCGAAAAGATTCCCCTAGCGGTGGTAGCGAGATACAGTTTTAGTCATATGTATATGGTTTTAATAAGCCAGGAAGAGTTAAATGTATAGTAATCCTTCATGGTTGAAAGTAGAGTGCACGTGATATTTCGATCATGATCACTCAGAAAGGTGTAAGAAACGAATTTGCCGCTCAACTCTGTTTCGCTCGGACAGAGTTTGACCGCTAGGGCGGCAGATTCACGGCCTTCGGCGCCTGGCGTCCCGAGATTATTTCGATCGTTTCGCTAGTCGCACTCTTCCGCCATGATTTTGGGTGACCGTGATTGAAACATCACATGCACCGTATTTTCAATCACCGAGACGGTTACTCCGACGCACTTATTAAGTTTGTTTCTCGCGACCACCGCCAGGGTATTATTTGCGGCTTCTGTTTGGCCACATTCTAATTTGCGAAGACGCCCTGGAACACGCCCAGCGCGCTTTCGGCCAGTGGCGTCTCCTCATTGGCGACCTATACTTCCCATTGATTGACCAAACTCTCTGTATATACGACTTTGCCATCCATCCATCCACCCATTCAGCCATCCATCGGCATATTATGTACATAAAACGAACCGCTTCCCGTGAATGTGCAGACGGACAAGCACAAGTATACTGGACGCTGAAAACTTATCGCGGAGATCAGGAAAGAGTCACGACAAAATAAGCTCTATTTGTTCAGGCTATCACTGTTCTGCCTGTCTAATCGTTACCGTCTTTTTCTTTTTTTCAGAATGAGTTGGAAGCGGTGCTTGACATCGGCGTCTCGCCGGAGCGCATCTTGTACGCCAGCCCGGTCAAGTGCAGCTCGCACCTGAAGTTCGCATCGGAACGAGGCGTCACACTCATGGCTTTCGATTCGGTCGAAGAACTGGCCAAGATAAAGGACGAGAACGCCAGGTATCTTGAGGCAGCCATGGGCATGGGCGTATAGCCACTAAATAAGCTACGCTTTAGAGTATCGATACTCCAGCCATCTTGGTGCTTGAAATCATAGTGTCTAGTTATCTGACGCTTTATCTCAAGTCACAGGAAACGGTTATTCGTCCTCCAGACATGTTAAACAGTTCGCGATAGAGAAAAACGATATCACCTGGGCTTTCTAACGCCGCATCTAAAGCTGAGGAAGTCACACTTTTTAATTGTGACGATCGACCGTTGCGTCTGCTTTGCATTAAGCACAAAGATGGCGGCACCATTAGCATATCTGGGAACGGAGTGCTGATACCCTATAAGCGTACCTCATTTTGTGGCTCTAGGCGTAGCCATTTAGCAATTCGCTCGATTTTTGTTATGATTGCTTGACTTCAACAATGCAGTGTGAGGGTGCTGCGGTTTGTAGGCAATAATCCGCGTGTCACCCTTTCGGGCTTTGTACAGGTTCGTCGTTGTTGTGAGTTTTAAAGTACAGTTTGCTAAAGGTGTCGATTGCGACGTACCCAGCACTCATAACATATTCTGAAAATTGACTCATAGAAGGTATATAACCCCCAAATAAACCTGAATAAGATAATTGATAAATACACAAAAAATAGAATAAATATCCGAGTTTCTCATTTTACTGTGAACGTCAGCAAATGAAATAAATTCCAAATGATTTACTTTTGCCGGTCGCCCGTTGCTCGAATGCGATCGCCGTGGATCTCGCATTCTACTCATCTTGCAGCAACAGTAAGCAAATGATGCTCGAATTAAGGAAAATGAAGGTGAAATCGGTGAATATCGTCAGATCATTAGTTACACATCAAGTTTTATGTAGGAAATTACAAATTCGTGTAGTAGGTGCAAGTGAATGGCAGTAGTCCGATATTGTTTTGTTTTGTTTTTGATTTTATACATACGCATAATTTTGAATATCTCTTTCTAGATTGCTGCTGCGTGTGGACGTTGTCGACAATACCAACGAGGTGTCCACGCTTACGAAATTTGGGACGTCAGCGCACGAGGTTGAGGGTGTCTTGAACCTAGCGTTTAAAATGGGCCGGAGAGTTGTTGGAATCTTGTGAGTGTTTTATTAGACAAGTTGACAATGCAATGATATTACCTTTGAAAATTACTGCTTACAAACGCTTAATAAATGTCCTGATTACATCACGTGGCTTGGTTTAGCCGTGTGGAAGATTATGCATCTGGTGTTCTATGTTTTCCTAAAAATTTCAGCCTGCAGCGTGCAGTTAAAGGATGTCATTATAATATTTCACAGAAGCAAAAGCATACCTTCGAATTTCACGAGGCAAGAGTCACCACTAAATGTTAATGTTTAGGGAACTTTCAGCACGCTATAGGAGGAAGTTTTAATTTCGTTCGCTTAGTTCACTATATTAGAAAGGCTAATGCCACCATACATATAACGAAGTTTGCTTTTTCTGACTCATAATTCAACACGTTTTTAAAACCTAACTCTCGACAGTTATTTTTCTTCTTAATCTCGCGACAGCAAATAGAACGTAATATAAAATACGATCCCCGTTGAGGGTGGGATTTGTGACGATAGTTGTGGCTAAACGTTTCCTAACAACATTTCGGAATGTTTCTTACCTATCTAGATACGGACACCCAACTCACACTTGCGGTCTGCTGAGTTTCTGCATATTAACCTCCAGTTTTCCTTCAGGTTTCACGTTAAGTCAGCCCGCCATGACCCGGACACCTTCACCCTCGCAGTCAAACATGCGAAGACTGCTTTTGACATCGGAACTCGGCTGGGATTCCGGATGACGGTTCTCAGCATTGGTGGTGGATTTTTGGGCGGAACAAGAATGCAAGATTCGTTCTTAAAGGTAGTTATTTTCCACCATAAATGAACTATTAGACAAAAAGAAAAACGATGAAATTAGAGAACATAAAATAATGTTCAGCCTGAAGTTGTTGTAGTTAATTTATAGTAAAACAGGTGTTAACGAAACCGAGTACCTCCAGGAGCCTACCCACGTTTACACAGCATGGTGGGACAACACTGAAACAGTAATCTGAAGAAATGGTAAAAAAAACACAGGCGAGCTTGTGCAAGTCTGCGTTTACCCTTTTTATGTTTGTGCAAGTTTCTAGCTTTTTTCATTTTAGACTGAAATATTCTTATATTGTTTTATAAGACCAAGAGTATTTACTAATTGCTTTTTTTTTTTTGGTCAAAACAACATAACCTTTGAAGATACTGCCGCGGGAACTGGTCTGCAGCATTACCAAAAAAGAACTTGTCTTATTATGCTCGCACTTATTGCTTCGTGGTTTCTTCTCTGGAATTTTGATATGCTAATGCATCGCTCTGATTGGCCGCAGAGAAATAATTAGATGCTCGCTACTTGCCACGTTACGCGTTGTTTTATTTTTCGCACATCCGAAATTGGAAGTGCTGGGTGTCATCTCATGTAAGTTACGCAATTAAACACACCGGGTTCTGAAAGCCGATGTTCATGAAAAAGAATTAGCTTAAAAGCATAAATATCACTCTTTAAAACTGTAGAAGTTGTTCTTTAGTTGAACATATGTTGCCTCCCTGGGGCCTCCAGAAGGTTCTATTTAGATTTTCCTTCTACTAGCATCGACCGCCTTTGTGCTTTATTGTTGCAGTATGACGCGCGTTTTTTGGTTTTTTCTTTCGAGGTGTGTGAGGCAATTCGGTCGGCCATTGACATCCACTTCCCGCCGTCGGAAGGGCTTGAGATTATTGCTGAACCCGGACAGTTTCTTGTTACCTCTGCCTATTCCCTAGTCGTCAAGGTCCTTCACAAAAGAAAGAGATCAGCAAAAATCGGTGGTGAGTATAAGCTTTTCTCTAACGATTATAAGTTATCCCGCATGCAAAATAATTCGGAGTCACCGGATGGTGGACGCATGCGCAACCTTCAATATTCTGGTCAAGAGAGTTTCTGCGCGTGCTCAGAACGCCCAGTAGAGAAAGCTTTCAGAGAGCAGAAGGTGATTATTGGAATGGTCGTTAGCTAGCTTTCAAGTATTAGTTTCCTTGCAAGGCTTGGTGATAAAAAAAGCGATGATTTTGTCTTTTGAAACCTATACGGTAGAAAAAATAACATGAAGCTTATCTATGATGCACATACTATCACATTAAATTCAACACATAAAGGGGGAAATTAGTAACGTTTTGCGAAGAGCCGAGTTTTTTTTTCCTTTTAATACGTTTTTTTAGGTGAATACCAGTATTGTGTGCTAAAATCTTTGCCTTTAGTATCGTGCCCGTTAGAACAACACAATTGAGAGCGTTGTATAGCGGTGTTCGTGAAATGCCTAAATTTCGCCTCGTCCTCAAGCGAGACGTGGCGAACACTAAAAGACAGGCTGAGCCAATTAATTGTTACATTCACGTCACGTGACCACGGGATCACGAACTCAACTCTCCTACGTCACGTCGCGGTGGTGGCGCGTCGGACGCACTCCCGGTCTGAAGTGGTGGGCAGAAGTCGCGGTGCGAGACATGCATTCATGCGCTCTTTTGGGAGAAACCAGACAAAAAACCTGCCTTCTCGTCAAAATGCTGCGACGGAACTGTACCAAGAGAGTCTGGAAAGGTTTGAAGATCAGTTTTCATGTGTTTCTGCCCTTCCGTTCGTCCGAGAACGTGAATAGTAGCTGTGACTAGGGCAAACCAGACGCTGTCGAACTACGATTGCTTGTGCGGGCACCACTTTGTGCTCGCCAGATGTAGTTGTTGTGTTCCAACATGAACGAGAGAAAACCACAAAGTTGTCCGGACCACCCGCGGGTTCAGTGCGTCTTCAAATTCACACGGCCGCCTGATCGTTCAAACTGTCGTCTGCCCTTTCGAACCTGTCTGCTTTTTGTCGTCTGCTCGTTCAAGCAAAAGCGGCCCGTAGACTAAATTTTGACCCGGCGATTGCAATAAGAAGTAATTGCAGGCCACAAAAGACTTAAGTTGGCTCGGTGTAACAGTAGATACAAGATGCTGATCATTGGTACCAGTAACCATCACCGACTTGTTACGCTTGGTCTGTTTCCTATTCCGTTTTTCAGTAGCGACGTCGATCATCGCCGCTACCTTCTACACTTTTGCAGCACGAGCGACATTACGACCGAAAATAGCTGGAAGAATCTCATCATGGTTTTGGCGTCCATTCTGCGGCGTTCATGCGAATGAATCGCCGCACGTCATATTATTTACGCAAAGTTTAGCGGCGTAACGAACCTTGATAATTTCGGTCAGGTGATTAAAGTGGTAAGACATTGCTATGAGGACGTGGAATCGACAATTCTAACGCGAAAACGAGTATGCAGACTCACACAGACGCCGACAACGTGACATTCCAATGGTTTGTTGACGCGGGACGCGGTGCTTCTTGTCCGCACTCCATTGCGCATCCGTTCGAACTGTTGTCTGCTCTTTCAAACTTGTCCGCTTTTTGTCGTCAGCTCGTTCAAACGACAGCGGCCCGTAAACCAAACGTTGACCCGGTAATTGCGATAAGAAGTAAGTGCAGGCCTCAAAACACATTTGAAGGTTGGTTGAGGTAAGTAGGCTAAGTGTAAACAGTAGATACAAGAAGATTTTGATCATTGTTTCCAGTGGCCGTCACCGACTTGTAATGCCCGATTCTACTTGCGGTTTTCAGTATCGACGTCAACCATCTGAGCCACGGTCCACGCTTTTGCAGCCCGAGCGACGTCGCGACTGAAAATAGCGAGATGAATCTCATCGTGGGAGTCAAGCTTTAGCGCCCATTCTGTCGCGTCCACGTGAAATGAATCGCCGTACTTCAGATTATTCACGCAAAGTTTTGCGGTGTAACGAGCCTCGTTAATTTTACTGAAGCCGCGCAAGTAGTCAGACATGGTTAGGAGGACGCAGAATCAACAATTCCAACGCGAAAAAGAGCACGGGGACTCACACCAACGCCGACAACAACGCAATTCAATGGTTTGTTTATGGACGACTTCAAGCTTCTCGCCCACCGTCCACCGCGCATGCGCGGCGCCGGTGGTGCCCACTAGGGGCGCTCCGGTTTGTTTGTAAACATGAGTTGGTGTATAGGCGGTGCGCGCGTTGACGTATAGTGCCAGAGCTCTACATACTGGGAGAGTTTGGGCGATGGGTGGAGGCTGTCGCCCGCTAGAACAGGTGGACTTTACGATGACACGAAATGGAAGATCTTGCTTTCGGCCACTCTACTTACGTGCTCTAGGCCAAAGACACGATTAGTAGTTGTTTTATAAACACAATTTCTTGTACTCTGACATTTTGGTATGCCTGCAATTGGTCACTATATTCAAACACTGGCCATCCTTTATTGACCTCTAAAAACATACCTTACGAATATTTTTAGTTATTTTGGTTTTCAAGAAAATTAGGCTTTCCCAAAACAAAAATGAATTTGGCGATTGAGCGCAAGGGTTCGCAGCGCCTCTCCTAGATGGCTCCCGTCACGGCACTGAATTTTAGCGGTGGTCACTTTTGTGACATGATATTCGAAGTATTAAAAATTCACTTTTCACAAAAGAGGAATAAGTTTAAGCGCATACAATTTTGAGAGATCGTAACAGATAGGTAAGTTTGAGCTGTTGACTACGTGTGCAGCGCCAAAAACACTTACATTAGCGATAACACTTTTAATACAATGGCGAGTCACAGCATACTTTGCGTGCCTAATCCAGAGTGGGCTCGAAATTCGATAACGCAAAATGGCAGAGGTAAGGTGCCGGGTCCCGGTTGCCTTACTTCCAGCTGTGGTTGCTGGATTGTCGGCATCTTCAAGAGAATGCCAAATTCTACCAGTATAAAGGGCTCTGCGTAGCGCACTCTACCACCCTGTGTCGACAAGGATGATTCGTGGAGTCCACCGTAGTCCACACCAGGCTGAAGCGATGTAAGGAACGATCGAAACCGTCGTACTGTACGGAGGAAGAGTTCTATGGCCGCAGGAATCTCGATTGTATGTTTAAGTACGATCTTTATGTGTGATCACGGAAGCTATGTGATGCAAAACGACGTTTTAATTCAACTTGGGAGATAGTGAAGCTTGCTGCTTACTAAAAAAACAACAACAAAGCACTGAAATGAAAGTTACTTTTGTAGCAAGGACGTTGATGATTCTTCGATAGCTAGAACGAGTAGTTTGCTCCTTTGTAAATAATAAATTTGCTGCATCTTGTTGGAACGAAATGAACGGAATTGCAGATCCTGAAAACGATTTTTATAAAAACTCTGGGAAATATTTGTATGCGAGAGGGTTATATTCGCCTCTGTTTTCGTTCCTGTCGTAGTCGAATTTGTCTCTCTCTTCGTCTCGTTCGCTTCCTGTTGCTCGTGTTCCTCGGAGTCTTCTTCCTTTCCCTTTCCCACGCCGGGATACCGGCGTCGGGGGTCGAGTTGGTCGGGGCTCCGATCATACAATCCGGTCGAGGTGTGGAGGCATTCCTACGCGTCTTCGCCCCTAAAATCTGCTTACAATCTCACATGTATGAAATGCATTCTAGGTGTCATCTCGGACCCCACTGAAATCTTCATCAATGAAAGCAATACCAACACTATTTCGAGATATACTCTGCCTAGAGTGGGTGCCAAGATTCATCCCGTTAACGTAAGTAAATGAAACAAAACCGAACCAAAGTGCGGAGTTATGCAAATTTGACTTTGTATGCCATTGCGATTTGTGCGCTTATTGTTTAATACTCAGGGTTCATGCATTTGTTTACATTTGAACCTAGACCTGTTGAGGACTATCGTAGACCTCAGGGGTCAACAATAGTGCCCTGCTTTGGTCAAGTAACACTGTCACGATTCTATAGCAAGACAGAACAAAGTAGATGATGCGTTTATTTATACCCATAGTGCAGTTTCTATACGCCTGGTGGACAATTCACGAAGCTCAGAAGATAGCTCCTAATAAGCGGTAAACCCATTGTCGTAATCGGGTCTCCGATAGATCTGTACCTGCGCCGATTAACGCGTGCGGAGAGCAAGCTCTCACTCAGTTCTCACACCCGCCATCGACACTGTCCTCGTCGTCAAATAACTGCAATAACTAGATAGGTGATTGCTTAGGGCTTATTGACGTCGTCCGACTAGAATCAATAGACATTTGAAGTCCGGTCTACGGGCGCCGTCATGTCGAAGCGTGTACATCGCCCGGTCTGAAAGTCTTGCAATAGAGCCGCTGACTAGATGGGCACGGCAGGGTGTTTTTTTCTTTCTTGGCCGGCCTCGAGAACGCGCTCGTTGCCCTACGTTGTGCCTTGGCTGCGCGTGGACACTCGAGGCTTGCGAAAAGCCGAAGCGTTGTCGAAGGTATGTAGGGAGCTCTTGCTTGGACGCGGAACAACTGCCTGCCGTTGCCGTCCTGTCAGTGATCGTGGTCTTGCCGAGGCATGCTTGCGGTTACCAGCAGAGCGCTAGGGACGGGAGCAGAACGCGGCAAAGCGCTGAAAATCGAAGGTCACGAGAGAAAGAACGAGAAAATATAGAGGGGATAGAAATCTGGAAAAAGAAAACAGACGATAGGTTGAACTTGTTCGTTTTTGCCGCAGCGAGTTGAAGTTGCCCGAGTACTTTTCGACTTTATTTTATTTTATACAATGCGCGACGCCGGTGTTTTTGTGCACAATAAAAAAAAAAGAAAAAAAAAAAGAGAGAGAGAGAAATGTTATAGATACAGATTTTGGAAGTCATGTTTTTCTGCATCTTTGTGAATATATCAATGCTTCGCCAGCAATATGGTCCCGCCGGGGCCACCATGTGACCACCAATGTCTGTGTCTATGCCCCGCTGGCCGCAATGAATTGGACCTTTCCCTCTAGATTATTATGTTAACTTTATTCGGTTACCAGACTGATCCTTCGCGTGTATGAATGAACGAATTGACGGTAGGGGCTATACCGTTGGCATCGGGCTACAGCTTGCCCCCACCCATAGCCTCGTCTATGCTCACAATGCCTGACAGTTCTATGACGGAGCCATAGAGTGCCCAGTCGCAGATTTAGAGCGCGAGGATCTGGTAGCACAGAACATTTCTCGGGGAGCCTGGTGTTCAGCGCACAGCTTTTGCAGCGGCGAGGATCCCGAAACATGGTTTTCAAACCCGACGAGGAAAGAAGCGGTAGCCCGAGGAACGTGAGAAGCACGAGCGGACATTGCATCGCTCGGGATAAGTGTGTCTCGGCGTCTCGCCGCAGCGGGGCGCCTGTTACGTGACTCTTGTCTGCCGCTCTACCTTTTCGCTTTCAGCGACCGCACCTCGTGGCGATCTGCCAGGCTTTGTCACTACAGAGGAGGCTATGCCCCAACTTTTGGTCAGACTAATTGTTGAGGCGCGGTTGCTTACAAACGGGTATAAGAGGTCGGACGGCTCACAAAACTCTGTCGTCCCGCGTTCCGTTACGTGCAGCCCCCCTTTGACCGGCCTCTCGACGTACTCACGACTGTCTGGGGATCTTCGTGCCATCCGGGGGACTGCGTCATCGCCGGGGAACTTCTCTTTGACATAAGCATCGGGGAATGGCTGCTCATTGACAACATGGGTGCCTACGCTGTGGCCAGAGCCTCGGGGTTCAACGGCCACGGCTTCCCCCCGGTCAACTACATCAGCACCTCGGCGAAGCTGTCCTCAGTTCAAGGCATCCTCGATTCGACGGTGATGCGAGGCGGCTACGGCCAGGTTGAGCAAGCGATCAAGGCCCGCCAGCAGCGAAGGACGGAGGCCGATGAAAAAATGTAGCGAATCAAACAACGAGAGTACATTTAAAAATAAGATACAATCTCCCACAATACGAAAGACCCGTTTTCCGAAGCCGTTTACGCAGTGGGACTAAAGACACTTTTTTTCAGATTCACTTTATTTTTAGCGAGAAAAAAGAACAAATGATCATTTATTTTCTGAGCCTAAGCAATGTGGGCATTACCAAAAGCGACTACGGACTGAAACTGCCTCACCGAATGTTCGAGACTGAATTCCATAATGTTGGAGACTACAGTACACCATGAAAGAAAGAAGTCCGTGCTTTTATTTTTGGTATTTCATTTTTTACTTGAATCTCGTAATAAAAATCCCCAACCGTCTGCGGCGTTTATTATTGAGTGTATTACTTTGGCGTAATGTTTATTATGTAATACATTACTTTTGCGGTCCAGCAATATCTTTTTTTGTAATAAATATTATTGCTACGAATAACCTCATAAAATTGTATTAGTTAAAGCAGCGATATTGGACAACATCATATTCCCTGTTTACGCCATGCATTTTATTAGACAGCTGGCTCTTAGGTTCGTAATACGCACTAGTATAGCGCGCGCTAAGAACGTCCTGCTCGAACCTATCATTTGTGCGTTACGTTACGAGTGGACATCTCGCATGATCGTTTTGATTCCATTTGCCAGAGCCGCAGAATTCCGCGTGTTTTTATAGCGCCACCATGCTTCTCAAAAGAAATATTCAAAATGAATACATGTCCAATCATTTTATTTTAGATTGAACTAAGCCGCAGCTGGCTGGTCAAGCGCGCTTTTCTGCGGGGTACGGAGGCTACGAGTACGAGTGCCTAGCCAAAGTCGATCACGCTGAGGGTGTGATCGAGTTTGGTTACGGCTTAGTTCAATTTGAAATAAAATGATTAGAAATGTTTTCATTTTGAATATTTATTTTGAGAGGCATGGCGGCGCTATAAACACGCGGAATTCTACGTCAATATTCCCGTGGAAACGGCACATTTTATCAATGCTATCGCGGGAAGAAATTCATGACGATCTATGAGCTTGCGTGCTCGTGTTTCGGTGTCCAACAGTTGAGCTCTTTTTAATGCGAAAGCATTAACTGTCTCATGGAGCGAGTTGACGTCATCAGTCTGAAGCGCAAAAACGGCAGATAGTTTCCTTGGTTCCATTGGCTGGAGCGCGTCGACGGGGCTCCCATCAGCCGCTGCGCTCGTCAGTTTCCACGACGGCTCACCCCATGGCGCTGCGTGTCCATCAGCGCGGACCGTCCGAGGTCACCAGGGGGACACTAAGCTACGTTTTCAGAGTACCGGAACTCCCACAATACGCGTCTGATCACGTCAGGGGCCGCCGTCTTGGGTCCGCGCGCAAATGGAGGAGTGACTGTAGCTGAGCCAAGCCGAGCTGTAGCCGTCGACTGCTACAGGTGTCGCGATCGCAACTGTGGCAGCGAATCAAAGTCGTGTTGTTCGTATCTCGACGTAACACGGAAAACGCGCGTGCTGAGTGACGGACTTCAGCGTGCGCGCGCAGTAAACAGCAAACAGCAGCAGGAAGAGGATCGCTGGACCCCAGATGCTGGCGTTGAAAAAACGCGATGATGATGATGATAGCGACTCACGTGACTGCCGCTGTCCAATGATGCCGCAGAGAACCAGATTATTGTTGAATAGAGCGACTGTATTGCCGGCAAAATGCCAAAGGAAAGGGATGCGGTACTCTGAAAGCGTATTTAGTGACTCTAGGGAACACACACGCTGACCGGCGACGAAAAGTAGGCAGCAGACGAAAAAGGGAGTGGACGAGCGGCGTGCGTGCTTTCGCATTCACAACTCACAAGGAACGCTTATAGCGTCCCTTAGCAAAAAGAGGCCGTACTTCAAACGAAGTTGAAATATATTTAGTACGAATATTCATTTTGTATTTATTCTGTATTATTTTGGCCGCATTCGAAATACGCGCGTAATGTACTCAAAATACATTATAAATATGAATCAAAAAATATTTTAGGTATACCAAAAATTTTATTCCTTCCCACTCAAGATGCCATTTGTGGATAAAAACCGGTTACACAATTTGTTTTTATTTTCGATTTTGTCAGCAATTGGTGTCCCTGCGGTATTTGAAGGCACTACTAAATACATCTCACAAAGCCACATTAGAAACGAACACAAACACAAACACCATGACGCACTGAAGAGCTCATTCACAGTCCCGTTGACTGCTCTAGAGCCTTATATAGCCTACATATTGAAGGTAATAATTTTTTCGGTGACCACCTCTGCGCTTATTAAGGTTACAAGTATTCGATCTTCTCCTCGGGAGTCTGTCAAGGGGGAAACAGTGTTTTGAAGTTCGTGGACGATATCTCTTACTAAAAGGCATTGGTACAACTAATAAAAATTCGGCACAGTCCCTAAAACAATATCCACACAAACGGCTCATAAAATACATGTTATTGCTTCTCTGCGTAGCACCACTCAGGGCGAAGCGAATCAAGGCAGTTTCTTCACTTTAAAATACTGTAAACGACTTTATTTTCGTGAGGACCTAATTCTCTCAAAGTTGGCGAATCGCCTACAATTCCGAAAGTAGGTCCCGTGAACAATTCCGGCAAAATGTAAAAACATTAAAATCTATATTGCGATCCCAGCGCGTCGCGAAAATTAGAATTTGCGAATTATTCCAAAACTCCAACTTTGACCTAAATCGCGAAATATTGAGCCCGCGAAAAATAAATATTTTACAGTAGTTGTTTTGCCTTTCCTTTTTAGTAGTTGACTATTTAATATGGTAGTTAATGCATGTCACTGTATTAGAGTCACTATTCACATCACGTACAATGGTGAGTATACACGTTCAGTGAACTAACATTGTGCTAACAAAACCACGCCAAACGTCTCTGTTCACAGCACCTGCTGAAGCTTTCCAGCATCAGCAAATGTTGTGGTTGTAGTTCCCGAACCCCGTTTGTGATTGGTGTGCAAGGAACTGATCAGGTGTGTTCTGGATAGAAAAAAGGAAACAATAACATAAACTGGGCTGATTTATCAGTGCGATGCTGCGCAATTCAATTGCCAAACTAATCAAATGTATTTAGGCGCTTCAGTGTACTCCATATCTGCTTGAAGTGAACTTCAGAAGGGGAGCTTTTAAATATCTTGGTAGTTTAAGTCAAACTACCAAAGTATTGCAGTCAAAAGGTACTTAGAGTATAACACAACAGTATTTACGATTTTCAGGTATTTTAAGAGTATTCTGCACGTATTCTTGATTGCTTCATTTTTTTAGGGTTGGAGTATATTTTGCATGAATTAAATAAATATTTCAAGAAATATATGTGAAAGGTATTTTGTGCCTATTAATTTAGTATTTACATATTTCAAAACGCATGAAGGGAACTTCAAATGTAGTTTAAGTAAAGGTATTTTAAAATGATTTTTAGAAGTATATTTTAGTACTAAGTAACAAAAAAGAAGTTTATATTTTCGGTATATTTTTCGTGTACTTACAATTATGAATTGTATTTCAAATACACTCAAATTAGAATGTGGTATATTTCAAACGTATTAGTTTTCGCTAAGGGGTACCTCGATCTTTTTTTTTTTGTCTTTCTCTCTTTTGCTTTCTTTTTTTTTTTTTTTTTTAACAGCGAGGGTGAGTTGCATTGTGAGACTGGATATGGTCAGCGTGCTAATGGCAAAAAAAAAAAAAAAGAAAAAAAAAAGGCAGCTTTTGCCAGGCTATTCCAGCGAACGATTGGAAAATAGCTCTGCGTCAGAGTTCGCGGTATGACACTTATGGCGAATTAGTGTGTTTCTTTCTGCGCGCTCTCGAGCGCTCTTTCCAGAGCGCGCGAGATGGGGTGGTGGAAAGAGAGTGCTGTGGCCTGATCGGCTGGTTCATTCCGAGGGCGCCTCTGCCTCTCAGAGCGCTCCCTGGCACTCCGTCTGTAGCCGTCGGAGTGCGGAGCGGCGCAGGCGTCACGTGGTACTTGGACGGGGATCACGTGGTTTTGTTGACGATGGCCGGCAGTGGTCTGTGCTGGGGTGCGGGGTCCGGCATGACGGCGATTGATATGTGGTTCTAAAAAAGTGTTTGTGCTTTCGACGCTGCGATCTTACAACGGACGGGACGACATTGGTTTGTGACCGTAACAGGAAAAGTCGACGTGTGAAGTATTTTCAGGGCTTTCACGAGATCGTTCATCTCACGATGGTGAATCCGCTATGCCTAACCGACGAGGAAGTAGCGCGCAAAGCTCGCCGCTGTTTTACCGGGTTCTGTGGTTGCTTCAATACATTTTAGGTTTGTTAAAAGTGCATTCAAAGGTTTGTGTTGTAAAATAAAGGGAGTGCCCAATATAATGCACCGTGATTTCTGTCAGATGGCGATATGTGCTATATCCTGCTTGCACGATATTTCGCTGCGAGAAAAATGCGGTTTATCAACCATTTTATATATGCGTGCTCTGCCGTACGCATGACCGCTATCACAGCCCGTTTACTGTGAAAACGCGAGAAGTTCACAACTGTTCCCAAACGTTGGCTTTCGTTCCGTTAGGCAAAAATCAATTCGCATACTGTTGTTTTCTTTTTTTTTTTTTTACATGCCGATGCGTAGAACAATTTACGTCAAAACCGTTATTTCATCACGTTGCGAGAGTAAATTCTGCTCAATCGTCTACTCTACGGTGTAAAACCTTTTTTTTTTTATTAATGCAAATTATTAATGTCGAGAAGTTTTACTTCCGTGACTGGTCCGAGAATGTCAGAGCGCTCTCAACCCAGCAGTTGTGTTTGGCTGAAAAGGATCCCGAGTAGCTCTGGCGGCGAGGAGTGGGCGTTCTGCTGAATCAAGGTCAGAGGAGAGAGGCGACCATTCGAATTCACCATTAGAAACTCGTGCTCGAGATCCGGTCTGACTACGAGGCGCAGGCCGTCTGAGAGTTACGAGAAATCAACATAAGATGGCGCTACCTGTCCGACCAGGCTTAATCGCCCGGTCGGTATAGGACATTCAATGACCGACCTTGGTGATGTTCTGGCTGCCACTAAAATTAAAAAAAAAACAAAAAAACCTACTGTTCAAGAGTCGCCATGACCGTCGTAAACCGGCTGTGAACTGTCTACAGCGGACGCTGATATAATAAAAAAAAAAAAAAAAGATTACAGCAGTTTTTCACGCAGGATATGCCCGTGCCTATTTCCGCAACGTGTGTCTCGTGTCGATCCATTTGAGCGTGTGATTGACCCCATCAACCACATACCTCCACAACATATATGTAGAACCTACCCAGCAGAACATCTCCCCGATAACTCGCTCATAGTTCTACTCGTGCTACGCGA